CATCGATTAGTGGGTACCGTAGGGATATACAAGACGGAAAACCGATAGCATATTTTAGCAAAACATTTAATCCAACTCAAATAAATTATACTGCTATCTACTGGAAAACACTAGCATTCCAGTTCTCCGTTCAACAATTTCGAGTTTATTTTGGTAAGACCGCTTTTACCTTGTCTACTGACCAGGTGTGCATCGTAAGTGTGAGTTCTGGGAAAAATTTGTTGCTCAGTTTCATAAGAGGGATCGTAATCGACCGGCACGCGGTTTCACGAAGAAATTAAATTTCCCAAAACTTCAATGACAATAATGTACGTTCCTGATTTGAATGTCAAAATGGTACTTTATACCTGCATTTATATACTTTTAATACATTGCCTTAGGGCGACTGGAGTTTTTAGGAGACCCAATCGCCAAATCCTGGGAGAGGAGAATCTTCATCCAATATCCTTTTAGTTCGGGCGCCATTAAACTAAAAGGGTGTTGGATTCCTAAGTGTTCTTAAGTGTTTTAATCTAAAATTGAGGAATCTTAAGAACTGATAAGCGAATAATCGCTTGCGTTCGTGGACAGAGAACAAAAAAGTAAAGAAGGGTGAAATTACCCTATATTATTCCAGTAAGTTTAAAAGAGGTTGATCTGGCCTTTTTGGAGTTACAATAAAGCCTCCACACGAGATTGAGCTTAGGAACTAAGAACTAAACTAAGAAAACTAAAAAATTATAGCCGAAGCTATCAAGATTCTAACAGCATTGGCCCTTAACGCTAACTAACAGCGAACTATCAGGGCCTAAAGTACGCCGAGGCGTAGAGTAATAGCTTAAGAGAGAGAGAATAGCCTGAAAAGGCGAACGCACGCTAGTCAGAATCACTGGCTCTCTAAGGAAGTCAGTAGAGCTTCACAGTTAAATACTCCTCCTCATTTGCATTCAAAAGCTAATCTAAAAATACGTTCTGGCAGGAAGTTTGTAAGCTTGAAATTAAGAAGAGATAGGAAAGTAACTTAAAATTTAACTGTTAGATAAATAAACATAATCCTTACAACGTCACAAAAGTACTCTAAGCTGTATATATACGACCTTGCTGGTCACAGAGTTTAAAAAGAGTTTGAAATTTGAAGAACACAATTTAAAAATTAGACATATTCCGGGAAAAGAAAATGTCGCGGTATATAATCTATCAGGGATTAAACCAGATGACGAGAAGAAAGAATTTAACCTTCGAAGTTGACTTCAAAAATTAGATTCAGGAGAAACAATTATTTCAAAACTGCTAGTAGACCCAAAATTAAAAAAAATAAAAAAAATATAATAAAATCTACTCTTATTTGAATGATTTTGATCACTTTGAACATCCTGACATAACTGGAATTCAGAACAGGGCTGCCAACTGTGAAATCATTGATAACCTTCTGTCCTATTCGAAAGGAACACATAAGAGTAATGAATTACAACCGGTTATCTCAGCAACGTTACGATTAAGTATTTTGCATTAATCGAATGATTCCGCTTGATCAGGCAATTTCGAGATAATTAAAACAGTGAAGAGATTAAAGGAAGCTGTTTATTTTCCACAGGTACAAAGAATTGAAATAGAGAATGTCAAGTCAGCCGAGCTGGACGGTGTAAATTTTGTTTTCGATTTCGTTTTCTATTTCCATTGACGTTTTCTTTCAGCTACGACGTGGAGCTTTTAATTGCATAATATTATTTCATATAAACTTGTGATACCAAGTATTAAATAATAAAGCATCTTTTTTTCATTCTTCAGTTCTTTTCAAATAAAAAATTATATTCGTTTACTTGCTGTACTTTGAAAAAGCGTAAAATTATAACTCTGTAAATTAAAAATGTGCTGCACATAATAGATTTATGTATAAATATTTAAAAAATCATATATTTTATTTCGTAGTTTGTTGGACTAAGGAATTCGTTTAAAAACAAATTAAAATTTCAGTACTACTTGATTTTCTCGGCTCCGCGGTAAACCACCAAATTATGTAAAAAAAACGTGCTTTCACTTCTATTTGCCGAATCTGACGAAACGTTTGATAGCCTAATCATCCATTTTCTATTTAAACATTAGTAAAAAAATCTTGACAATTTTTAATTATGAATGAGGAGCATGCCGTATCGTATTTCCAGGAGAAAATTTATATTACCTCTCAGTCGAATATGCGTAAATGGCCACGAAATGAAACTATATGTAAACAAAAGTATGTGGTGACAACGTGAAAAGTTGCGAACACAAAAAGGTATTCGATTGGACAATTTGGTTAGTGATTCCAGGATACCAAACCTAACAGCGTTGCATTTCATCTATATTTGGGCAGAGGAACTAACGTCACTTAAATGGTGCGACAAACAGCTCAACATCGGTCAAAGTAGCACGACTGATCGGAACAATTTTATGAACGAGGTTTGTTCGTTAGATTTACTACGACAATCTGATGGACGAATAGGTGGCCCTGGAAAAATAGTTGAAATTGACGAGAATTTGTTCGTGTGGTGAAAAAGCAACGCTAGCAGGATACTTCCTCAATAGCTTATATTCTGTGGGTTATGCTGTGAAAGCAGCAAATGCTTCCTTGTTCAAGTTACAGTCGGAAGCAAGCACACTGATGTCAACGATTATAGACCGCGTATTGGAAAGTAATATATTTAGATTGTTGGCAAGTCTATAAAACAGACGAGCTTGAAAAGGCTGGTTACAGCCATTTAACTGTGAATCACACATTTAACTGTGAATCACACATAAAACTTGTTGATCTAACAACGAGTGCTCACACCCAAAATGTGGAAAGAAAATGCCGAAACAAAAAGCAAAAGAGCACGGTTCGGGATCATCTAAAGCCGAATCTTTCTGAATTCATGTGCAAAAATCCTCTGGGAAAGATATGCCTTGGATGCCATGTTAAAACTAGTCATGGAGATATGAAAGCCGCAAATTATATGCGAGTAGTTTGCACTTGACGATAATCATGGCGCAATTTTGGTAACGGGGGTTATGAAAATCAAGTAGCACTAAAATTTCTTTTAAAAGCTGATAAGCTGATGTTCAAGGTTCAAGGCACTCACTGTGTTGCCTTGAACCTATTATTAATTATGTATTTACAGTGCACTAAAACTTGATTCGATATGTGAAATATGAAATGGATTAATGCAAAATTACTATCTACTTTACACAAAATTAGGCTAGTATATGAACATGTCTGATATTTCATGAATTATTAAGAATATGCTAAAAATTTCAGTTATGCGGGAAAAAACGAAATTTGTTCTATTACCGATTTTTCGAAGGAAACGCTTGTCGGCCGTTGACATACAGTTTACATTTACGTATCGTGCAATAATACTTGAGTTGCAATAAAAAAAAAACAAAAAAGGCTATGCAACAATGTCACTTCGGCAAACTAATTCACCTAAGCATTCTTTACTGCTAACCATCAAAATCTGGTATTTAAATCGGTAACTAAAATAATAATAATAATTTACGGGAGATCTGCCAAATGACTGCATCGGAATGTATTCGTGCTTCGAGGTTTTCTTATTATGGTCTCTTCCACGCTATATATCGTGATTCTCTGTTGCACAAAATGCATGGCTTATTACAGCAAAATCATATTATTCGCAATCAGATGCCGGAATTGCTATTAATGGAGGGATTGCATTAGCCGTTCTCTTTGTTAAGTAAAATAAACCTATTAGTGGCATTTTCCCTGCGGGCTTATTTATTTTCTATTTTTTGTCTACGTAAAACGGCAAATTGATTAATTATAAATCAATGTTTAAAGTGCAGTAAGAATAAACACTTTTAGAGTAAAATCCTTGCTAAAAACAACATGTAAAAGTCAATATAAATTACCTAGTAGAAATAATATGCCATAACATTCAAAATATAACGGAAGTTTTACTGCGCAGAAAAGTACGATTTAAGTTTTTAAATCATATATCTACTTTAAAAAATTCACAAAACAAAAATATGAAGTCAAACTTTATTAAATACAGTAAAATATAATTGTGTGTGATATTCATAACAAATAAATTCGAAATTTGGACTGATATTTATTTCCTTTTTCATAAAATTAAGATAAGTTAATATATGTAGCATTAGCATATGGCAGGACTAGAATTTAGTTATATGTTTTAACCGTTTATTTACGTATATTCTCAGTTAGGACTCAAAAGAATTATTTAAATAATTTTTTAAATTTTACTTAATAAATGATAAATGATTACTTAATAAATGATTTATATCCATTACTTCTTCTTTCAAAAAATCAGAACTGATTTTTTGAAACAGTTTCTCTCTATAAGTATCATTATTTATTATACATCTATTTTATATCTAAGATTCTGAACATTCTAATTTCTCAATACAGAAATCCCAGGAAAGAAATCAAATAAATTTAAAATTCAAAACAAAATTACCTTGTAATTACGTAATGACACTGTAGAAGTTAGATTTATTTATTACTTAAAATCTTTCACTAATGAATTTGATTTGTAAAATAGAAATATGTCTACTATAAAGTATGTATGAGCTAGACATGAGGGTTGAAATGGCAAAGTAATAAAAAAAATGACGACAACCTATTTGTCATCGTAAAAATTGTAATTTTCGGTTGGCGATATAGTAAGATGTATAAAAAAATTAAGCATAATTGAAATCGAGTAAACCGTTAAATATAAATTTAACGATAAAAGTCTAATTACTTTTACTTTCAAATTCAGAAAATGAGTATTTCCCATTTACGTTTTGAATCTGATTATGTTTCCAAAATTGTGATCCTTAAAATTGTAAGAGACTACCTTAAAATTGAAAGAGATGCAGCAAAGTACATTTGCTGGAAATCTCGAACTTTAAAATGTCAAACATTTTCGCCCATGTGTGAATATAAACGATAAATTTGCCCCTGTTCTCTTTTTCATATAGTTTTTAATGTTTTCTAACTTGAGTAAATGAAAGAAACCTCTAAATAGTTTGGTGCTTGCTTTAGGTTAGAACATTGTTAAATAACATGTATGTTGTTAATAGGCACAACATGGGTATCATGATTATTCTGACTGTTACTTCCATGTGCGTTTCCATTTCTCACGATTAGTAAATACAGTTCTTTTGTAGGATCACGTCTTGCACCATTCACTGTGTCTCTTTTGCAACAGCAGTTGCCTCAGAGATTGAGCTTCTTCTCTGAGCGTTGCGATTTGTGCTCGTAAGATAGCATTTTCTTTCTCTAAGAAACATGCCCTCAGTGCAATCTCATCTTCCCGCGCTTTTCGAGCGTCGCGTGATTTTTTAGCCGCCATATTGTTTCTTTTCCGTCTTTCAAAGTATTTATCGTCCTTTTGTTCATCTGGAATTGGCCTCTTCTCACTTCGAGGACGACGAGGTAAAGTTGAAGCAAGAGCTCTTGAAATGACTGGGGAAGCTGCAATTATGAAAAAAGTCACATTAATTTAAGGGTTCTATTATGTTTCATTCATATATGATCTAATAAATAATAATTTAGCATGTCATTCTTAAAAATATTTCAGTTATTTACATATATATATATGAAACCTAAATATTAAGCAGAATTTAATACAGAGAGCTTTATAAACTAGTCATAAGCAACTTTTCAAGATATTTTAATTTCGTAATAAAATCCAAGCATTATTCCTTTAGAGTTGTTAAATTTAGGTGTTAAATAGAAAAATAAAGTAAATTTTATTTTCAAATTAAGTACTCTTGCAACCATAATTTCATAGTACGCGTTTAAAAATATTTTTATCTTCATTATTAAGAAATGATGAATCTCTACATGCGTCCGTCGACTTGTTTGAAATTTGGAGGCACCTAGAATCACCAGATTTAAACACATAATGTCCTGCACTCGGAAATGTGCATCTCCAAGCCCACATTTTTTAATTTCGAATTTCTTAAACTTTGTTCTAAACTTTGTGAAATTTTAATGAATATTTCGTCAACAAAGTCAGTGATTAAAGCAATTTTTAACTACCTGCAGAAATAATATACTTTTATCTTTAAATGCGCATTTGCTGCTCTTCGGCAAAGTGTTAAATATTATTTATTTCAAATTTTATAAAAAAACTCCAATGATTTTAAAACTATGTTTTGTTGCTTCTCGAAATAAAATGCTTTCATCTTCTATATGAAAGTACACTGCTATTCAGTGAAGCATTAATTATTTAATTATCTTTCAACTTTTCTTTTTCTGCTCTTGATTAATACACTAAGTGATTTGAAAGAAAAAGACGTAGTTCTTAATAATTTTTTAAACTTTTTTTTAAGTATGCGTCTGATTTTTTTAAAAAAGAATCGTATTAAATCATGATATATCTAATTACTAATTGTTAAAAGTATTAAAGCTATATTTTATCTATAAAATTGTTTTAATGTCAAATAGTTTGTAATTGATATAAATATTGTCATGAAGAGTTTAGATTCAATGGTTTTGCTAAGTAGACCGATGCTGCTAACCCTTAAGAAAATTCTTTAGTAAGGGCTTATTGTTGGTAACCGTTTAGCAGGGACCTTGATTTCGAAGACAACAAGTCTGACTGGGTTCTCAGAAGCAGACATATCAAAGGGTTTTCAAAAGTTGGAATCAGAACCCACAGCCTTTCTCTAGAAGACGTAACTGTGGTTCGAGCACAGTTTTCCAAAAGTGTGATCAGCGTCGTCTCCGATGAATGTACGGCAGAACAGGGACTCTACTATGCTTGAACTGAAACAGATCGTCAACCAAAGCTCTTCTCAAGAGATTTCAGCTCGAGCCATGCGCAGAGAAATATAGAGGATAGGAATGTATAGTCGGGTGCCTGTGAGAAAACCATTCATTTCTGCCCCACATGCAAGATTTCATTTGCAGTGGTGTTGGGAAAGAAGACACTGTTCATCTGAGGATTCGAAACGGATAATGTGGCCTCATGAATCACGCTACACCTTATTTTGCACTGATGGAAGACGTCGAATTTGAGAAGAACTCCATGAAGCAATGAATCTGTCTTCCCTTACTCGCACTCTGTAAGGGTCTGGTGAGAGTATCATGATGTGAAGCATGTTCTGATGGCATAGAAGTGGTGTCCAGGTGCTCTTCGAGGGTAAACGAACAGCCATGAGATACCTAGATATACTGGCAGATTAAGTGCACCCTGCAATGTTGCATCTTTACCCTGATGGCGACGGATACTTCATGGAGGATAATGAAATTATATCTCATGCAAAGTGTCTTAAATGGTTGGAAATCATTCTTACTTTCAACATCTTCCCTGGCCACCATATGGCCTGGATCTTAACCCCATAGAAAATGTCTGAGATATGGTGGAAAGACGCATCCGACAACACTTTGCTTTAATCTAATTTAACAATAGCTAAAAGGTTGCTACCAAAGCATGGAATTCTTGTAGTAAATGCCACTCAGAAGCATGTAGACTCGATGCTCATACCAATCAGAGCAGTTATCCATGGAAAGGATGGTCCAATAAAAAATTGATCTTGGGTTTCTAATTCATTAGCCAGTGTGTGTAAAATACTTTAAATAATTTTTTTCATTCCGACTCTTTTCAAAATATTATCTATAAAGAAGAGCGCCTGTTTGTTTGTGTAATTCATACACATCTGCAGTTTTATTCCCATATTGATTAAATTTCCCCCACTTGACCTCCAAACCAAGACAAAGTCACTGGTAGACACACAATTTCAAAAAGCCATGCCACTTGGACCACATCAGGACGTCTTACGTGCATGTCATCCATATTAGTTTCAGGTTTCTATTGTTATGTTCTCATTATCATTGAAAGTCATTAATGCTAAGCAGGTTTATTAGTAATTTATAATAAAGCGTTTATATTTTTTACAAAAAATAAATATTAATATTTCTATGCAGTTCTAATTTTGAAATTAGGTTACCCATCTTAGGTTCACGTTGCGTTGTTGCGTGTTCTCGCTATGAGGTTTTTAATAAAACAATTTAATGGCGATGTGCTCATTTACTCTTTAGATCGGTGTAGTTCTGGAAAGTTTTCTGAATTTTCCAAAGCCGTGTAGAATCTTTAAAGCAGAATTTAAGTACTCAATCTATCAATTGCACGAAATATTCGGAAAACGGTTGTGAAGACTCAAAAAGCAGTGTTGTTGATTTCCGAAAAGTTCCATGTTCGAAAAAGAGGCCTAGTCGATAACAAAGCAACATCCGTTCATATTAAATTCGTTACATAAAGCAGTATTAATTGTAGACCGTTCTATAATTTTATTTGAGCTTGGTAAAATTTTGCGCAATTTACCTGGAACCAAAATAAGGGGATAATCACTGGCCACCTGAGATTTCAAAAAATCTACCCTGATCCCCTTAAATGAAGTCTCTTCATTCTGCGTAAAGTTCGAGCAATGCCGGGTACTTCAGCTAGTTAAGAATACATTAAAGAAATTGTAAAGTGAGCTGTAGTGTTCACTACAGCTAATTGTATAATATCTGTTGCACCTAAAATTTAGAATCGTTGAACTGAAAAGATTGGTTAAATTAATGTATGAAAGAAAAAGCAACATTTAAGTTATTATTAGAATCCTTAACATTTTTTGTAAAATTGCAGTAGTTGGACTCTGTGAAACGACATTACCTGGAATTTTCAATAAAATAATTATACATTTTTTTTTCATTTTTTTTACTATTTTAAGCTACCCGCGCAAGCATCTAGTTAACTTAAAGCTTCGTATTGAAATTTGTTTTCTTTACTTTGCAAATACTTAGATATCACATTTTAACTGTAATAGTTTTGACTCCGTAAAATTTTCCACGTATGGCACTTTCTTATCAAAGGACTTATTCTTATAAACTTTCTTAATTAATTTTATTTTTCTGTTAGGAAATTTCTTCACATAAAATTTACTACTCATTCATTCCAAAATAAACAAAGAGAATTTTACTAATTACAAATTACGGATTCCAAAATGAAATTCTTTATAGTAATCTTAATAGCTTACATTTCAACCTTACAATCCATCTCACATCAGCATAAAAAATGTTTCGTGTTATTAAAAAACCTATGCAATAGAATTCAGCCAAGTCTATGCTTTTAGTTAAGATTGCCGTCATGAAATTTAAGGTATCTGAAATTACGTCATTTGCAGTGAAAATTGGTTCGTTTTATATAATCATTGTTTTCTTTACTGTTTATTTAAGTGAGATGAGAGCACTTTGCTCAGCTGTACTATCAGGATACGAGAAAATCTCTGTGACTATGTGAATGCTATGAGTAGTCAGTAGCTGATTACTGAAGGATTCTCTCAACCATCAAAGATTTCTGTGTTAATAGAATACTACAGTAAAGATTTTTATCTATCCAAAATCAAATTTTGAATCTCTCTTTGTTCAGATAAAAGATTTGATCAGTAAGCTATTTTAAGAGACGGTAAACATTTGAAATTTTTCACTTTAACACTTTCTTGGTTATCGATGTACCAGCCATGCTTCACTATGTTAACCACAACGCGATTTGAAGGTACTAAGATAATAATTCTAAAATAAAATTTTAACTGTCAGAGTGCTTTTACTAAGCGGTTTTCTTTTTTTGTTGTTGTTGTTACAAATACGAATCAGATACTGCTTCCATTCTATGAGACCTAAGATCTTTCATTTATCATTCGGGCTTCTTCTGAAATGACATACCAGTTTTTTACTGTGGCCAGACGATTTCATTAACGCGGCCTATTCGCCCGCTATCGAGTGCTGCATTTCAGTGACAGCATTCTATTGGCGGCCCAGTTTAGGTTGGTACAGTGAACACAAAGACCGGAAACCTCATCAGTGGAGTCACGTCCTCATTACTGATGAGAGTCGTTTCATTTTGACAAATGATTCTCGGAGCCATTTGATATGGAGAGAGAAAAAGGCACACTTTCATCCCTCTAACAGCAGGGAAAAAGACCATTTCAGTTCCCGTGGCATGCTTTCATTGGAAGGCATTATGATGAACAGAGGAATGGAGCTCCCCATTTTCAACAGAGACTCACTTACCCAGGACCATTACTGTGATGAAGTTATCCACCCCCCATGTACGTCTTTTCCTGGCTGCCACTGGTCTCGATTTTGTTTTTATGGATGACAATGCACAGCCACACAGGACTGATGCTATTCAGGAACTCCTGGAAAGCGAAGATATCGTCAGAATAGACTGGTCAGCAAGGCGTCAGTTTTAATCCCACATGGTGGATATTCAAGAAGATCTGGTTGCCATGGACCTAACCCTCCAGAGAACAAATAAAAATGAAATGCAGTAAGTTAATGAAACAAATGCTTGTTAACAAAAAAAAAAAATCCCATAATAAGGCTGTTTGGTTTGGTAGTCTTCCTCTTGGTAAGACATTTTTTGTACCAACGTCATTCTATCAATAAAGCCTTTTTTCCTGTTCATTCTGTACTGTACGGGC